GTAGACCCTTCTCTAAAAAAATACCCAAAAAACACCCCAAAACATCAGATAAGGTTCCTAAAGCAGAAAGATTCTCTTCTTTTCTGAATCAGACACTAGCAAGAGCACAATAATTCTAAGTAGAATTGAAAGAAAAAATAAGCTTTTTCTGGATTATTGGTATATGTAGGCCAAAAACAGTAGTCAGCATACTTAAATATATTTTGAAATCTTCCTTGGTTGCCCAGAGTGATTCTCCAGAGCTGCTGGTATTGTAATCCTCCAGAATCCATGCATAGGAGTGAGCGTTTTGCCAAAAGAGGGCAGTGTTCACCTTCAGCAGGATGTGAAGAGACAGAAAAATCACTACAAAAAGGATAAAGTTATTTTTCCTCCTAAGGTTGACAAAATCTGACAAAACTCCCCTCTCATTAGATTGGTCTCTCAATCTGGTCTTCTAAGACTCACTATCCAAATTCCGATTTTTATTTTACATTTTTAGGAGAATGTTTCGAAAACTTCAACCTTTAAAACAAAGTTTTTAAACACCTGCTTGCAGAGCGATGAAAGCAAGGTGTATCTTACGGGAAGCTGCCGCGCTCGGGCATTCCGCGCAGTGAGCCCTGGCCGGGGAGCCTCAGGTGCGCCGAGGCCTCAGCGGCACCCGTCCTGCGCAGGTTCTCACTGAAGCTAGTGCGTTGCTTCCTGGTGAAGCAAGCATGTGGCTAAACAATTCTGAACAGCAAATATTAAAGGAAATCACTGTTCTGAGCCTCACCTGAGTAAGATCGGTTGGCTTCCAGTAGAGTCTATAGCAGGAAGAAAACTGGTTTTCAGAGAGTGGTTTAGAAGAAGGAAAAAATACAAGTAGATGAACTTATTAGAACCACCTACCCTTTAGGATCTGGGAATGTTACCAGATAAAAAGAAGGGAAGCTGCTTTGCATGGATTCGATAAATAATTAATCAGCGTGAGCTTCAAAAGGACAGCTTGGGGCTAAGAGACCAGGGCTTACATAAAGCAGGTAGTGGAAGCCACGTTGGCAAAGTTTTCATTGGCATTCTGCTGCCCGAGGAGGCTGTTGCACTGCAGGCTGCTCGTGTGTCCCCTGTCCCTGGGAGTCCAGGGCCTGCCAGCCTCGCAGTGCCCTCAGCCCTGTAGCTTGATCGCCTCCTGGATGGGCTCGGGCTCCACGCGGCCGCTGCGGCTGCAGTGCATCTGTCTTGTCTATGGCTTCACCCGAGGAACCCGGACTGCAGCCGCTCATCCCAGGCTGCTGTGGGCCTGGCCTGCTCCTGGGTGGCTGGTGTCTCAGCTTGGAGAGCACCGTCCACTGCATGCACGCGATGCTGGCCCATTTCGGGCCCCACAGCAGGCCCCAGTCCTGTGCACGCACAGATGACCTCGGCCCCTGTCCAGCCGTCAGCTGGGTCCAAGGCTGCTGATGCGCTCCCTGTGGTCTGCTTAGAAGAGGTGTGCACTGCACAGACAACTTCCTGGTCCTGCGGCGTTTCACGGAAACCCCTGAGCTCGGGTGAGGTGACGTCAGCGTGTGCATTCTGAGCGCAGTTCTGCTTTCCCGCACTTCCCAAGCCGGCCACTGGCGATGCTCGTCTTCGCTCGGCCTCTGCAGTGGTCTTGTAGTGAGCTCCAAGTCTTTCCCATCCTCCCAGGTCCTTGGGACTGCTGATTGGGTCAAGCTGTGACTGCTTCACTTGGGCAGACTGAAGATAATGTCAGAGTGTGGTTCCGATTGGTCATGTGCTGGCAGGGGCCTTTTGGAGTGTGATGTCTTCGGCCTTGGCACTTGGGACAGATTCTATCTCAGCAGGCTGGCAGCAGGTCCAGTAAAGCGTTGTACACAAAGCCCTTGCTGAGCAGCTATTTCACCTCGTTGCCATCTAGGAAGCTTATGGTATGGTAGGGAAAATGAGAATTTAGGAACAGGAGTTCAAATTGTACCTCATTCTCTTCAATATAGGGATAAAATATACTACATAGCTAAACTTCAAATATACATATGAATAAGCCGATACTTAGATTAGGCTTACTAACATCTATCAGATAACCAAACAATTAAATATTTTACATGAATATTTTATCTACTTTGCAATCATGCCACAAGAGGGAGGAGGCCCGATGCTGACAGACTTCAGATTCCAGGGCTTTCCTGACCCAGGCGAAAGCTTGGAGAGATTCTGCGATGTTTGTGGAATGCGGAACTGCTTCCAGGGTGGCCAGGTTACTCTGGGGAGAGGAGATGGCCTGCCATCCCTGGGATCTGGAGGTGGCAGTGTTTATGTCCTCTACAGTATAGTTGTTTCAACCCCAGTTAGGAAGTAAAGGGGTACCTTGGGGAAGAAAACGCACAGGTGCACAGATGACCTGTGTGGTCTGTACCTTGCCACTGGTGCAGAGCGTTTTGTTAATTTTATATGTGTGGAAATAGCAGGTTTTACTGTAAAGCTAAAAGGACAGATTGTTGGACCAGGAATGTGCAGCTGACACCTAGAAGTGTCTTCAAGCTCAGGCCCATTTGTCATCTTGCAGCGACAGTCTCCTACAAATAGCATAAGAGCCTTAGAGAAAGGGCAGCTTGTCTAAGCAAATGCTGCAAAGTTAAAGGCCACCAAAGGTGCGATTTTGGCCTAACTCTTCCTCTCTAGGTGTTTAAAGAAGAGAGCAGCACCTGGTGGAAATAGCACACACTTGCTGTGGTAGCGAACAGAACTGCGAAGACACTGTCGGTAGCTGGAGGAGACTGCCAGGGTGCGGAAACGTGAAGCGGAGTGGTTGGCTGCCTGGCCATGAGCCGGAGGCTCCCTGTGATCAAGGCGCCGCCACACAGCAGATATGCCTTACTTTGGGCTACTTCTTCACTTGGTGTTTGGATTTATAGCCCGTAAAATGAAGATTCTGTTCTCAGTTACCCTTCTATCGTTTCTGGGACAAAATATTTGACAGCCAAAGTGAAGGAAGGAAAGGTTTATTTAGCTCACAGCTTGTGGAGGTTTCAGTCCATACTCAGCTGGCTCCAAGGCAGAGTGGCCCACGGCAGAGGGCAGCCGTTCATGGTGCAGAAGACAGCAAGGAGCAAAGGGAGAAGCAGCAGTTGTGGCTGCTAACCAGCCTCTGTGCCCTGCTTAGGTTGTAGCACAGCTCACCTGCCCCAGGGCGGGTGCAGCACTGACCCCCATAATCCTAGCATTGGATCATGAATTAATCACGCTAGAGGCCGCCCCATGACTACATGGGTCGTTGGGGGCACCTAGATGCAAACCGTAGCAATTCTGGTAGTGCTTGCCCTCGTGGTTTTTGTGGAGACTGAGCCATGCAGTCTGAGTGCTTGGAGAGTCGCCTAGCACTGCCGAGTGCATAGTGGTGTAGCTGCTATGATTGGGTCGAGAA